ATGCCCTTGTCTACCAAATCTTATGTTGTGAAGTTTTCTATTAACTATTCAGAAAAACCCTGGCAGAAGGCTAAGGTGAGAATACAGAGTGAGTTATAAGTGAGAATATTGCATTCAAAAATCAACAGTCGTGAGAAATTGTCTAGGAAAGTGCATGAACTGGGCAATGAGGTGCTTCCCTTGGAATGCTATACCCACTGATGAGTATTTCTCATAGTGAGAGGAGAAGGACAACAGCACGTTTACCTCAGATTTTAAGTAATTTTTCCTCAGCTTTTGAGAATGAGGAAAAAGAAGAAAGTGAGATCCTTAACTTTCCATTCTGCCAGCTGTTGGCAGGGTTCTGTCCCATCTATTGTGTATCCCTTAGAAGTGACTGATAATCAAACTGAGTATATTTGTTTTCTCAAATCTTGGAAAGAAGTCATGAAACATTCTGCTCTTCTCCACTCCCAGCATGATGCTTAAATTCGAGTAGGATTTGAATGATTAGCCTAAAAACTGCAACCTGTGTTTATTGAGTGAGCTTGGGTTCTGCAGCCTCAGTACAGTTGAAGACATATGCAATTCTGCAGCATAAAAATTACCACAAATGTTAAGTCTTGAGCACAACATGTAAAACATTAGTTTGTATAAGACTTCATTTAAAATAGGATTAATTTAAAAAAAAAAAAAACAGATGGTGTCCACCTCTTCCATTTGCTGCCAAGGAACACTACTATTTAAAGCTTTCATCGTAACACAGCCTTATTTTATGCTAACTGGCTGTCGGAGAAGCAGAGCTGGGGAGTCTCCAAGCTGCAGAATGGCAATGAACTTGGTAGAAGGTTGCAGGTTGGGACCTATGAGCTGCTCTTTGACTATCTTGGAGTCATGCTTTTCAGGTAGCTTCCTTAGAGCTGTATGTCTGATACTGAGGGGCAGAGAAAATGGAGTATTTTAAACTTACAAAAAGGGCTGGAGTAAAGAAATACTTCTTCGCACATTTGGAAATGCATCTGACTTTCATACCTTAAATTTACTTGGTTCCACTGCAAGAGAGGTCAGCTGAGAAACTTTTCTGCTGGTCCTATCAATTCAGGATGACTGAGTCACAGTCACTCTTGTAGCATTTTTTGAGCCAAGATAAATTTTTCAATTGCTTCTTCAGTTGCTTACTCAGCTTTGATTATTCTGAGTTCATTTCACAACACCGCAATTGAATGCTACACCTGGGTATGAAGTTTTTGCATTAGGCTGGAGAATTATTTCAAAATGCCATCACATTAAACTAGTCCTCCCTTCTCATGCAGTTTTTGATGACATCTCCCTCAGTAGCTGTGTTCAGGAAGACAGAATTTCTGTGATATGTCAGTCCGGTATGGCTTGTCCTTCCTGCAGGCTGCATGCCCAACGTCCTCAGTCCCTTGCTGCATCAGAAGCATTTCTGGCTTTGTCAGATTTTTTTTTATTCACTTTCAGCAATCTTCACGTAGTTTTTCAGGCACTCTTGCGAGATCCTCTCCATCCAGTTGCAATTGGAGTTTCTCAAAGCCTATTGCATATTTGCAAATTGCTCCAAAAAACATGCCCCTCTAGAACCACATCATCACATTTGTGTGAATCAAAAGGCAGTTCTTTTCTTCTTAGCTTCTTTTTCTCTTGTTCCTATTTCTTTAAAGACAGTCTTTCCAGATGTTCTCAATCTGGCTGGAGGAGAAGGGTCTTCGACCACTTACTCCTGACAAAATGATACTCAATATGGGGAAATACTGTCTTGGAGCTCCATCTGAAGAAATAATTTAACCCAAGCACATTCTTCTTGAATACTTACAGTATTACAGGAGAGGTATCATGTGCTGTGCTTTTTCCAAAGTTTGATCTTGAATGGTGACTCTTCCTCGTTATTTTTAGCTCTTGCTAGCTATTCCAAATGTTAGGTTATTCCATCGCTGGGAATATCTCAAGTGAGTAACCCAATATATTCATTAAAATTCATACCCCCACTGGCTTTCGAGTGACATCTCCTTCAGAAATGTGTTCAGTTTGTGAAGCAGGCGCAGTGGCAGTGTGGGTTTCATCAGCAGTCGCATAAAGAAATTACATATGAGCAAATGCTACACCTCAGAAGAGCAGTCAGTCATACAGTCCTGTCCCCGATGGAAAAGTGAAACCCTTCTTCCAGTAGCCCAGGAGGACTGCAGTTGCCACTTCCCTATTTAAAATCCACTGTGCAAGTGGGATACTGCTGAATACAGCTCAAAAAAAGGAACTTTCAGACCATGAGGGATTTTTTTGAGATA